ACTTTACAAATGGTCCATTTTGAGTTAATTTTTGTGAAGGGTGTAATTCTGTGTGTAGATTCCATGTTTTTTTTTCATATATGCCTGTCCAGTTTTCCATCACCAATTATTGTAAACACTCTTTGCTCCATTGTACTGTATCTTTGCGTCTTTGTCAAAGATCGGTTAACTATATGTAGGTTTGTCAAAGATCGGTTAACTATATGTAGGCTCTTTATTCTGTTTGGTTGATCTTTTTGTTCTACCAGTATCATATTGTCTTGATTACTATAGTTTTGTAGTTAGTATTCCATGAGGTTGTTTTTACATTGTAACCATTTTTGGTACATATGTAACAGCCTTTTTTTGTTATTGTTGGGACTGAACCTAGCAGCTTGATCATGCTAGGCAGGCATTCTACCACTAAGCTATATCTCCAGCCCTGTAGTAATACTTAGCATCATGTGGTGCCAGTGCTTCAACTTTGTTCCCCTCCTTCAGTATTGTGTTGCATATTATAGGTCTTTTGCCTCATCATGTGAACTTTAAGTCAGTTTTTTAAAAAATTATTTATTTATTTGTTACAGGGTCTTGCTATGCAGCTTGGACTTGTAGTGATCCTCCTGTCTCAGTGCTTAGACTGCTGAGCTATGTCACTAGCCCCAAAATCATTTTTTTTTACACACAAAATAACCTTTCTGGGATTTTAGTTGAGATTGTATTCAGTCTATAGATCAAGTTGGGCAAAACATCTTGACATTGAATCTTCCTGTCTGTGAATATGAAATATCTTATTTAGCTAGTTTTTTTTTATTTTATTCATTTGTTTTATAATTTTAGATCTTGTACATATTTTGTTAGATTTATACCTATTTCATTTTGGGGATACAGGATTAATGGTTGTGTTAGCTTTTTGCCACTGTGGCAAAGTATCTGACATAAACAGTTTAAACAAGGAAAGGTTTCTTTTGGCTCATGATTTCAGAGATAGCTGAATCAATCCCTAATTGCTTGACTCCACTGCTTCTTAGCCCCAAATGAGGCAGAATCATCACTGCAGGAGGGCATGGTAAAGGAAGGCTGTGAACTCTGTGCCAGCCAGGAAGCAGAGGAGGAAAGAGCAAGAGAAGAAGGGACTGGGGACAAAATATGAGCCTCAGGGTCGTGCCTCTATGACCTACTCCCTTCATCTAGGCCAGCGGTGGCAATCCTGTGACATCCATGCCACAGCTGGCTGTTTCTTTTCATTGAAAACTCTGAAAAGTTCATCACTACTGAACTAGGCCTTACCCCCCAGTAACCCATTCAACCTCAGTGGGTGGACTCATCAGTGGATATAACCACTGAGGAGGTTAGTACCCAGAGGCCACACCTCTGAATGTTGCTGCATTGGGAACCAAGCTTTCAGTCTAATGAGCCTTACATCTATTCCTGACTTGCACTAATCATATTAAAAATGCTTAGGAGTTACACATGGCTAGTGTCTACCATATTGGACAGTTGAGTTAGAATAACCTACTTAGACATTATAGTGTTGAGTCATTTTTTGATTTCTTAGAGAAGATTTTTCCAGCCTTCCCTAGAGAAGATCCTTCTAGCCTTTTACCATAGACTAGAGGTCAGTTTGCCAGGGTCTGAGACACTGAAGGGGAAAAGTACTGGATGTCTCAGTATATGATAGAGTTACTTATCTTTTTCATGTAGGATCCTTTCCCCACAACTGTGCTTGGCACCATCCAATCCAGACACTGTTTTAACCTTTTCTCAGAATAAACTTTCAGACTTACACTGGAGGAAGACAGGGTCATTTCTAATGGCATGGTGGGAGGTTTAGAGTATGTCTTCTTCAACAGCTTTTTTCACGTTAGCTTCTTCTTCCTCTGTCCCTCATTTCCTAGGTGTTTGGCATCACTAATTGCTAAACCTTGTTTTATTTTTTTCCTGAGCCTTTTGAGCGTCCTTAAGTGTAATTTGGGCTGGTTATTGTACTTTACTATTTAGAATTTTTCTTTGTCTTTTGGTTAAATAACCAGTCTTTCTAATGCAGTTCCTCTTTTTTGTTCTTCCTGACCTTGTACTCTCTTTGCATCGCTTGTTCCTGACCTTCCTAAAAAAACAAGCAAGGAAGCAAACAGCCCTTTTTTGTAGATTGAATTTTTATTCATGAACCGGATTTTGATGTTTTAAAAAACTTAATGCAGTGTTCAGATTTGTTGTTAAAGGCTTTAGTGGTGGTAGTTAGTGGAAGACTCCATAGGAGAGACAGGAAGTGAGCTATGATAGTAAAGGTTTGGTTTGGGGAAAGACGAGAACAGCAGAGAAGAATGTAAGAGTTGAAGCATTTAGAGGTAGTGCGATGATAAGCAGTGGGATGACTTTATGAAAAGAGTTTGGATGTCTGATGTATAAGGCAGCTTCAGTACCTTCTGTCCTCACAGAGATCAGTATTTTTAGTTGTTTTGCATCTCCTGGTCTAAGAAACTTGTTTTGTGTATTAGAATCCATAAAACTGATAGTACAATTTTTAAAAAATCCCAAACAGAAAGCCATTTATATAAGCAGGATATATAGAATCTATAAGAAACATGTACATAATATTAAACAACCATGAACCCTAAATATACCGTAGCAACAGGTTTCCATTTCAGTAAATGAGTTTGCTGTTGGGGTGTTTTATTAATTCTAAAGCAAGTTTTTGCTAGTACTTTGATTCACTGTTGGTTGTTGCTGCCCTCTGTTGGGCTAGTTCAGAAAATGCATGGATTACTGGTAGTCATTTTCAACTGAGTACTAATACATGGATAATTCTTTTGAAAGATCAAATATAGTATATCTCTAATGATAGCTCTTGATGCAAGGAAAATTGGTATCTACCTTCTAATGAAAATGTGCCTTTATTATCTATGTATAGGATCAAGAGTTGGTGGCATGCAATAGGAGCAATATAGGAAAATCTGGGGAAATGCAGATTTTGGGGCTTTTGAATATGGAGACTTAAGTTTCATGCCCAACTTAGTTTCTGTTATTTGACTTCATGCTTTACTTCACCTGTCTGGATGTCACTTTCTTTGTTGAAACAGTGAAGAAGTGGGAAAGACGTTGAGGACTTCTCTGGGGATTTATATTTGGGGATTAGCATTTTAGGAAAGCTTCCTCATATTGTTGAGTCTGTTCGTAGGCAGTAGGAATGACTGTCTCAGGCTCTGATGTCAGAGAACTTAGTCTTGAAGTGAATGGGTAAGGCAGACAATCAAAAGGCTATTATAATTCAATGTTAGTTTTCTAGACTAACAAGTTATTTATCATTGGGAGAACAATGATACTTTTCTTCTAAAAGAAAAGTACCCATACAGTTACAAGAGGAATTATTCTGTAAGGTCTGTTGGAGTAACCTCCCTCAGCCCACACTGTTATTTCAAGGCAAACTGCAACAGAAGCTTGACCTCTTCCGGACCATGGAAGACAAAGTAAAGATTCACAGTTTATACTGTATTCAACTGAATTGTGATAAGGGGAACATAAATGTAATGATGCAGATTTTTCCTTGCTCATTGCTGGAAAAATAGTTTCATGGAAGAGGCAGAATTAGTTCTTCATTAGTTGACAAAGGTTAGTCAGTAACCATTTATTAAACTTTTCCATGAACATAAAGAAAAAAGAAAAATGATTTAAAATTAAGTAAGACTACTTCCTGGACCTGTTCCTTGAGTCTTAATGTTATTTATTTATTTATTTATTTATTTTTTTGGTGGAACCGGGGATTGAACTCAGGTCCTTGCACTTGCCAGGGAAGCGCTTATTCCACTGAGCCATCTCCCCGGCTCCTTAATGTTATTTATATAAAGAAGATAGTATAAAACATAATAATATCTTTGTGGTACCAGGG